CCTATGTACCCAATGCTCTGATTACTTCTGTTCTAGATTTTGACTGCTCAGGGCTTCTGAAAACCTTGAGGTTCCTTGACGTCTGGGAGCCGGTGCCTACTTCAAGTCTAGCATGCTGGGGACCTAGCTCTCTTTTGCGAAAGCTATTCCAAATTCCTAGATCATGAAAGAGGTTTGACCCCAATGCAAATGCTCATCTGATTGGCCGCGCCGAAGGCAGCTGCGTATTGGCCTGCATCATTTGTGTTTACCTTGGGCTGTGGGAAAATTTTTAGGCGTAGGCTTGGGTATGTTACTACCAATGGACAGACTTCGAGGCAGTTTGGCGAAGTGGCTCCGGCGCCTTCGCCGCCTCGCCTCTTCACTTCAGATGCCTGCCAGCTCTGGCTTTTCAAGCGGTCATCCCCTGCTTAAGCATTTCATCGACAAAGATCTCGCACCAGGCAAACGGAAGCATCGTCGACGGTCGGAGGAACAGCCAAAAGCATTGATGCATAAACATCTGCGAGCTAAAGGTAATTATACATATGCTACAGTCTTGTGCTGGGCTGTGCTGAAATGTTATAGATCGACACCGACTATAGCGCAATCTTACCGCTGTGCTGTGACAAATTTAACCGAGTTGGGTTTAAGAGCTTGTAGACAGGTGGAATGACGGATGAAATGGTCTTGACTGCATCATAACTTTCCAAAAAATAGTGTCGGGCTCTCGTCGCCATTGGGGCTCGACGATGCATTTAGGCGCTCAGGTTGTATGGAGTCGCCTGCCTTTCATCCTGGCAGGAAGGGCGGGTGCCGCGAGGACTCAATCCCCGTACCTCTGGCTTCCCACACGTGCAGTGGTTAACACAGACAGCGTTAACACAGCGTTAACCACTGCGCCATAGGCACCCTCATATCGGATTCTAAAATTCCAATTAGATAGATTGGCAATGAAATGGTTTTGACAGCATCATAAAATTAACGAAACCGGGTCGGGTCTCGGAATTTGTCAATAGATAGATTGACAGATGAAATTGCTTTGACTACATCATAAGATTCCAATCCGTTAACTGCTATAAGGCAATATCTTTTAATTTGCCTGATGCATTGTGATGTTTTTTGCCTGTTTTATCTATTCTGAATGCAGGGTGTGCTCCCATCGGCGCCCGCAGACACGGTCCACCCACCGTTGGGTGCAGATGCAAGGGACCTAACATGTGCGTGCGGCCGTCGGGGACCTAGGGGTGGGCGTACCAGTGGGTGCAGGGGTGGTAGTCGGCATCATCACGTCAATGTCCTCGCTGGCCATGGCTGCTTCTGGGTCGAATGTCAATCCCTCGGCGTCTATCACTGTCTGCAGCGCCTTGGTCGTGTCAGCCGCCAGGCGCACGCTGTCCACGTTGGCCGCGTCCGTCTCGTTGGTCTGCACGGTGACGTCGAGGTCGACAATCACCGAGCCATGCAGGCCGATCACTTCCACTCCCAGGAAGGCGTCACCGAACTTGGACCGAAGCGGTTCGCTCACCTGGGGACGCGGGTCAGAGTCAGAGTCATAGTCAGTGGCTGGTGCCCGGAGCTTGGCTGCCACAAAGGTCACCCAAGCGGGGAGTCACGTGAGTCTGAGCCAGAGTCAGAACTAGTGGCCAGTGCCCAGAGCTTGGATGTCATGAAGGTCACCCCAGCAGTGAAGTCAGGTGGGCCTGAGTCGGAGTCAGAGTCATCTGCTTGTGTTCGGAGCTTAGATGTCACAAAGGTCACCCGAGCGGAGAGTCACGTGAACCTCAGTCAGAGCAATCACCGGAGCCCGGAACAGTGCCTCCCCCCCCCCCCCCCGTATTGATAGCCCCAGGCGCAAGCTTCGCTTGAAAGACGTCGGAGAAGTCATTTCAGATGTAACGCAGGGCCCAGGTAGTGATCAGTGGCGCTACGCAGAGCATGGAGGGCACCAGCCCTGTGTAACACAGCAAGATAGGCTCCGAGGGACGCGGGTAGTGGCTTTACCAGCATTGCATGCGGGAGGCGATGAGCCAGTGTTGCTGGGTGGATAAACTGGTGCTTTGGGAAGTCGAGCCATTTATTTAGAAAGCTGGGGGCGGGTGGGCAAATGTCGCAACAATAAATCTTCATCACCATCCGGTAGTCACGCAAGGCCCAGGGAGCGACCTATGCCCACTGGCGACACCATGGGGACGGGGCCCAGGAAGGAACCCACGTCCGCTGGCGACGCCAGGGGGACGGGGCCTGAGGAGATATCTGAGGGTGTGAGCTATTGTTCAGCGGCGCTTGACACAAGGTGGAAGTAGTCAACAACATACTCGCAGTCGTTATTAGAGCGTTTGCGAGCATTGCGATGAGATGTTAGAAGCCGCCATCCTTTCCAAACCTGATCGTGAGGCTACTCACAGCCGTTACGACGCTGCTGCTCAGCCTCTGATACTGCTCCGTGACTTTCAGCGACATCCAGGACTGATGTTCCATCTCGATTTTCACGTTGCAGTGCAGCACAGCAATGACTGACGGGGGAGCCTCTGAAAAGTACGGAAAGTCAAAATACTCTGTTAATGCTCTAAATCGCGATCTTTATTAACTAAAACAGTATGCTACAGACGCAACAATTTGAAGTCTCAGATGTCAGCCAGGACGAATGATGCTGAGAATGGTGGTGACTGAGAATGGTGGTGGTGACAACTCCGTTGCAGCATCGGATTGAACGATTGCGTACCAATTTTCTTCGCTGAATTTATGGCCTGACTTTGACGTGTCACATCAGCAGCCTGACTACGTACATCTAAATTTGTATACGGAACGATCCGGTTTTCAATTTTCTATAGCCAAGCAAAATTTGGCACGGCTGCGCCGCGTCATTCTGAACTCATTCCATAAGAAGCCTATGGAAGGGAAGGGGTCAAACTGATCCCCACCCGAGTGCGAGTTAACAAGAGAGAGTGGGAAATTCCAGATTTAGACGACAAGCGAAGAAGGAGCGAAGCGAACTATGGACGTGATTTCCAGTGCAGTGCTGATTTATTACATTACTCGTTGCTATATGCCGCCGATGACCGGCAGCAGTGGCAAAGCAGCCGCGTAGTTATGCATCAAGTGTACGTGTAGAGCGGTGACAATCACATCGACGCAGACCCCGCGCCCTGTCAAACCTGTGGTTGTCGTTGTTGTCGTAGTTGGCTCAGTTGCGTTAGTGACCGCCATAGTCGTGGTCGCGTTGGTGACCTCCACCGTGATCGCGGTTCCGTTGGTGGCTTGTGCGGTGGTTGTGGTTCCGTTGGTGGCTTGTGCGGTGGTTGTGGTTCCGTTGGTGGCTTGCGCCGTGGCCGTGGTGCCATTAGTTACTGGTGCAGCAGGTGGGTTGTCGGCCGCAGTCGTCTGGCGAGACGTTGGCGGCGCAGCCGTAGTCGTCACTGCCGTGCTCTCGGTGGCGTTGGTTGTCGTCACACTCGTGGTGTCGGTGATCTCGCGAGTCGTGCGCTTCCGCTGCCCCTTGTTTGGAGTCCTGCCGTCAGTCTCGGCGTCAGTGGTTGTAGCGGTGGTGCTTTGTGTGATGTTCAGCAGGTCCGCCAGGCCGCCGCCACTGGTTGGAATGGCGATAGTTTCAGTACTGTTCAGCAGATCCTCCAGGCCACCGTTGCTGGTTGGCACAGCGTTGGTTAGGGTAGTGTCTATCAGGCCGTCCTGGCCACCAGAGATTCCTCCAAGGCCTCCTGGGGCGTCGCTGGTAGCGCTTGGTGCGTCCGCCGTTGCGGTCGTCCCGCCTTCTGTGCTTCCTGCGATAGGCAGTGATGGCTGAAGTGTGGTAGGGGCAGCCGCTGTAGTCGGACGTGCTCCCCCCGTTGTGGTGGCGCTGTCTAGAGTCGTTGTGACGTTGGCCAACTCCGGTGTAGTCACGTCGACTCCTGCAAACAGCGGGCATTTACATGAAGTGTACCATACTTTGCACTAGACGGAGTGTGTCTCTGGTTAGCATCTTACGGCCTGGAAGACGTCACTAAACCTCCACAGACCGGTGTTCCGGGCCGATGCAGATTTAGTCTATGTGTAAAATGCGGTGTGACGGGACATCACTACTGGTGCTGCCTTCTGGGGTGGTCCTTTTTTAAATATATGATTGTGCGTTACTTGGACACACTCCTTCACCACATCTTCTTCCTGCGCGGCGCCCGCCCTTCCTGCCAGGCTGAGTGACTGGCACCTCCCTTATATCTTCAGCAGCCGAGTACACCGTAAATTCGAGTGAAACAAGCAAGATATTCTGGCCCTGATTGGCAAAGTTGTGCTTCTTCGGAATGCTGAATTATGTTATTCGTGGCATGTGTGGGAATGGTTGGTGACCTCCGCCGTGGTTCTATACTCACTGATGTTTGGGAAATTCCATTGACCTAGCATCTGACATGTTTTGCTGATTTGGTAGAGTGAATATCACGCATATTGGCTCATCACGAGCGATGACTCCCTCAAAAACTGTGATTCAGACGCTGGGTGCAGGGTAAAGCGCCTGATGGCCAGCGAACGCACGATACTTCACTCACTTCTACCATATTCAGCTGAGGCTATGAACCGTCCCAGCCTATTCTTTATCCATCGGTTATTCCACGAGTCAAAAGTCGATGACATCCTTAATTTTAGACATCTCTTTCCGCACAACGACTTCTGAGGACAGATCAATGATGACCTGATTTTCCGTGGTCACGTTTTATGTTTACAACATCCCTAACATCTTCAAATGGTTTCAAACAAAATCTCATCTTATTTTGCCACGGCATAGGGCCAAGATCGTATAAGCGTTAGGAGTAGTTTGTGACGTCGGAGTCCGCAACATGATGCATCCACTAGTGTTTTATATCGACTACCAGTTACCACTCCAAAGCCGGGTAACCAAATTCATCGCGCATCGAACTTTTGTCGCGTCCAGCACAACTTAGTGCGTCAACTCTAAATGTAAACCACCTGCCATTTTGTCTTTTGTTTCTTGCATTTTAAGTCTGATCAGGCTCAGCCTAACAGCACAAAGATGCTCCATCATAATCCGCATCAATTTATCAAATTTCAGCCTTGGTTAGATCGAAATGCCAAATGCAGCACACATGGGCACTTTTAATGCTTTTTGGTTTAGTGTTCCACGCTCAGTTCGTAAAAGTATGCTTCTACTGTGCCATGTTCAAATTCATTCCAACCTTACCCGTTTTATTTGGGAATTTCACGATGTAGCAAAGCCCGGTTATTGTATCAATATTAATCACGCGTGTTCTTCTGTGAAAAGGTCATCTCGTAACGAATCAACAGTATGCTTAACAGTAACAACAACAGTAACAACAGTATGCTCAGCGCTGGTCACGCTCAACGAATTCCAACGCTGCGTGATGTTTGTGAGACATGGTCCAATGCCAGCGTAACCTCATTTCACAAAATTTACCGTGACATTGGTATCTCATCACTGATAGGGAGCTCGAAGGGCTGACATTCAATGACGCATCCTTAGCATGAGCAGGCAAGGCTGGGGCGACAACAATCCCTTGTTTTGTGTAAGAAATATTGGATGTGAGAAGAAAACGTCTGAAGCGGGTTTAGTTGATGACATGCAAATAATGCGGCGTGGAAAGCTTAGACGTACTTGTGATGTGCAGAATGCACATATATCACGGGGCACAAGGGCTAGTTGAAAATAAAAGACAAGACAACGTTAACGGGCCATGAACATTAGACAATATATATATATATATATATATATATATATATATATATATATATATGCGCTGCTTTCAAAACGCTGTCGTTTAGGGCTCGCAGACATTGGGACACAGGGGCTTGTGCCCAGGCCCCCCAGGTCCCAACGAGTCCTAAGGTCCACTCCGGAGCGACTGTCGACCGCCCATCTACAGTACCAGACACTCCGGAGCGACTATCGACCGCCCATCTACAGGACATCTACCAGACAGGCAGCCCGGAGGTGGTATGAACAGGCTTCGGCCCGCAGTGGTGGTGCCATCGAATGCCGGTCAGAGGACACTGGCATTCTGAGGCCAGATGCCAGTAGGTGCACTCGTGGTCCTTTTAGCTGCACAGGACATTTTCCCTCTCAAAGGCCACCTGGTTACCACGGAGCACCTCAGTTACTTTCAAAAGCAGTTCAGCCGCGAATGTGACCCTGTTAAGGAGTCCCCGCCCGAATATCAGATTGCGGTCAGGTGGAGCTCTTGCTATGGCCCCCCGCAGAAAAGCTCAAGATTAACGCTGATTATCAAGCTTTCTTTGAATAGCTGGGATTTAAATTCACTGTTTGAAACGGAGCTGCCCTCAATCACGTCAAAAACATTCACAGATTCTGCACGGAAGACAGTTTGAAGTGCGGCTCAAAAGGGCAGTGCATACCAGTGTTCAGTTACGAATTCACGTACGGCTTTATTTGCGTGAAAATGGAAAGCATCTCTCGGCTATGGTTTTGATAGGGACAGACACATTAGTTCAAGACCAACAATTTCGCGCCTTCGGTGTATCCAGATCAGCAAACGAACTGCTGAGCCTCTGCCCGCAAAGGGTAATAAAGACGGCTGGGATCGGCGATAGCTGGTTTGTGTTGTCTGGGTGAAAACACATGCCACTTCATTGTTCAAACCGGGGAAAATTGTCAAGCCTGGGCCCAGAATTTTTGGTACCTCCGGTTCGTCAGAGCGTATAACAGCATCTTAAAGTTGGGCTGCAGCCGTGAACAATTTTTTTCTTTTGGTTTTGCTTAAAATGACAAGAATATGAAACAATTGGCATTCGTTTTTCTCAAACACTTCTGTGATCTTCTGTGATCAGCAGTCCATCTTTCCCTGACCACGATGCATCCTTCTTCCAGCACGCCCCACTTCGTCCCGCCCAGCATTTGCGCAGTCGCCTTGACATCAATCTGAGCTCAAACCAGAACCCAGTGTATTGCTCCTTCTTTTCCAGGCAGCCTTGAAGCCCAGTTTAAGCCTTTATATACCAATTGCTGCGACGCATCGAAAGGCGTGCACCAGACAACACATGTCGCGCCAGGATTGGAGCATGCCTAAGGTATGGTCGAGAGTGTGATGATGGTTTTTTTTGGGTGGGGGGGGGGGGGGGCTCGAAGCGCACACATGGTTTCCACAGGGGGACATGGCCCTGAAGAGACCCGCATGTTTGACGTCATCCCACAGTGCTACCTGCCGCCACTAGGAATTTTGTCACGTGCTAAGCTACCCTTGCTGTCGAGGTCCTTCGACGTTTTTTTTTTGCGCGGTCGAGGATAGCAAATCTAGCCGTAGATCAAACTTAACACGCGCTCTGGTGGCCGGTTGGATACCTTTCACTCGGATAGGGATTAGTTTGACCCCTGAGATCTCAGGAATTAAAAGATCTGGAGACACAAAATTCACAGGGTGTGTTGCTCTGTATGTGAACTCACTTAGGCCTAGGTTTGAGATTCCTAGTATATGACCTTTGGGTCAAATAAAGTCAAATTAGATCAAACTCCAGGCTGGTCTCCAAAGTGTCCCCAGAACCTAGATGCCTGAGCAAAAGGTCACATGCCCATTGAAGGTCAGTGACCTTCTTTGACCTTTCGAAGGCCATGGTGACCAAAATCATACAAGATTGCATTGAGTTTTGTATTTGAATAGGTGACGAAGATTACGATAGGCAGTTTGTCCCTAAAACCGGAATGTTGACTTTGGTCATTTTAGGTGAGTGACCTATTGTGACCTTTAAAAAGTTCGTGGAAGATGTATAACGCGGTTCCTGTCATTACAAAATCGAAATGAGCACCAGAAAGTATCCCATACACAAAGCCCTAGAGTGATAACGCAGGTTGGTTTGATTTTTGTGTAACTTTCATACCTGAACCTAGGTCAACGGAATTTGTTCATTCAATTGTTCTGCTACCTAAGAAAGTATCTCAGAGATGTATGGCTTCGTCCAACCTTCCGTCGTTGCATCAGATTGAACGATTCCCAAGAAATAAACTTGGCTGAATCCATGACCTGATTTTGGCCTGCCGTAGTTCAACGACATTATAAAGCACATATCAATTTTTGGCACCAAACAATCCGCTATTTAATTTTCTACAGCCATGCAAAATCTTCGGAAAACATTCCGGAAAAACCCTGGGGGGGGGAATTTGACCCCCGCCCGAGCGCGTGTTAAACGTGAGACCACGGTAGGTCCCGAGGATGGAAGAAGACTGTGTTTGTGATCGAACTATCCTATTGTGCTGGGTCGGTGTACCTTCATTCTTCGCAACAACGTCCTGGCGTTAGCTGAATGGCATTGTATAAATGAACGTTCTGGTTGTGTGTGTGATATTAGAAGTTGCGGTGATGAAGGAGGGTTCCGGTGATACCCCGATTTCTGATTATGCTGCTGATATGGACGTCACTTCCATTTCTTGTCATCTGGCATCACGTTATGATACTGGCGACCATTGCCCACACAGAAATTCGGACGGCGAGAAAAAAATATAATTTTTCCACCCTTGCTTGCATCAGTCGGAGCCCCTGCAAAAACAAATTATTGGGCACATGCGTCGGGCGGGGCTCCCACAGTGCCTAGCAAGGCTTCTTGTGTGTCCTAAGTGCCCCGCATCGATTGAGCGCACATTTGCTGAACAGACATAGAGACGGGGCCTGGAATGTCAGGAGGCCTCTTGCGTTTGTCGAGTGCCTATAACAATTATGGTGACATGAAAAAGTAATATCGAAAGGGTCCGCTTTGCGAGAGTGGAAGGAACTTTTGTCGCGAAAGAGAGAGGAGACCATATTGCCGAATGGGTGGCCCACCGCTCAGTTTCAGCAAGGGCCAACTACCTGAACTGGGGTCCCTGTGTTAACTATTGAACGCCCTCTGCCGGGCCATTCTTTTGCGGTTCTGAGGATCTCCAAAGGAGTCCTTTGCTTCCCATAGGGCTACTCCGTCGATCCGAGGCAAACTGCTCCAGTCAGAGGGTCTCCCGTGTCAGGAAGGAGAACGATGCGTGATGTATCTTTCTGAGGCTGGATCGACCAACGGGGCCCAACCCTTTTTTCGGTGGAATGAAGCCGGTAGGTGACTGTCTTGGGCTGGGACGGACTGACATTTAAGCTCCAGAACAGGAAAGAGACAATGGGCCGACTAGCACTCTACCTGCAAGATTCCCTGTCCGGGAAGGTATAAGGGGTACCCAGGGTGTTTCATTTGCGGAGCTCCGCTATCTAGAACCGCAGAAAAATTTCGGCAATGCCCTTGAGTGTTATCAGTAGAGGAAGACACGCTCAAGTCGTATAATTAAGGTTGTGGGCGTTTTTTCGATTCAATCATCTCATGCTTACGAACATAAGGAATCCTGTTGACTTGTTCACGTTTCCGATCGCTACACATAAGTAGCATTGCAGCTTCTGGTCAATGCCTCTGGGTGGAATAAAGGTGGCGCTTAAAATGCATACTCCAGCGTGAAGGAAGTAGCATTTTCTTCGTTGCATACTGCATATATGTTATCAAGTTGTTATCTCACTTGTTCGTGAATAAATGCTTACCTGTTGGTTCGAACAATAAATATGGTGGCAGCTCAACTTGTAAGTAGACAACGATGAATGTACTTGATATAAGTAAAAAGGGCCTTCAGCTCCTGGTTCTCAAGTACGAATTCCGAGTTCTTACGCTGCGCTATCGATTGCGACTAATCCAGTTTGTGCTGCTTGAGCAACGTTATAGAGCAAGCATGCATTATGTGGAAAGTAACCGACTTTTGAAGCTGTGCTTATGATCGGATGCTCCTTGATCACTCGTAATCACTTGTGATCATAAGCATAGCCTCAAACGTCGAGTGCTGTCAATATAACCGATGTTTGCTCCACAGCGTCGTTTGACCAGCACCTTGTGGAATACTGAAGGTCGACATCCTAGCAGGGAATTTTGAGCTCATAATGTCAACAAGGAACGCGGGCACCTGAGCACGGGCGAGCGCCGGATTTCACAAGGGGGACCACAGGTTAAATTAGCGCGTCGCGAGTAAGCGCGTCTTGTTTTGTGTCGTAAAACAACATCACGCCTTTTCGATCCTCTGCACGTCTGCTTGCGGTTCTGAACTGTCAACACTTCGTGACGTACACATCGTGCCATGTCACAATTTTTATTGAAGGGTGGGAATACTTCTATTTGCACATATCCTTGTGTAAGAGGATATATGTGTGGTCACTGTTCAGCTCAACTGCTTTGGAACTGACTGATCTTATCAGTTGGCCGCCTTCATTGGTGTTGGATTAAGTGGGCTGAATCTCCAACTGCTTTCAGGTACGTGCAGTTCAAGTAGAAATCGTGCGTACCCAGCCACATGTATGACTCATGACCAGGATCGAAGTCGGATGGGAGGGGGGAATGGAGCCCTCCTCCCCTTGGGTCCACCATGACGGTTTTGTTCTCCAAAGGTGCATTCAAATGTGAACGTTAATCGAAGTTCTCCTTGCCGGCCACGTAGCCTTTATTTTCATCAGACGCCGAGCTCTGGGAATATATATATATATATATATATATATATATATATATATATATGCAGGGACTTAAAAGCTATAGTTTTGAAAGACGTCAAGTTACAGGGACGCCATGATGCCCGCATCTTTCCCTCCAGGATTGATTCATTCGAGAAGGTGCACGGAAACCTTTCTTTAGAAAGCCATAACTTATGTTTTCAAAAGGCAACGCATCTAAAGTCCACCACACAGGGCCAAAAAGTATGTATCGTAAAGAGGTACAGTCTGGACGACACCATAATGCCATGCACGACAAGGACGTAATTCGGCTGGCCATACTCGGAGGCTTAGCGGGGTAAAATGGCTAAAACACCCCCAAATACACAAAAATATGTCTTCTCCCTGGTTTCGACCCAAAGTCCAGGCAAATTTATGGTCTCAATAATAAATGAATATGTAATATCAAATATGATATTACATATTCAATTACATATTGATATTACATATTCTTATCATTCAAATATGAATGAATATGTAATATCAATAAATAATAAATAATCAAAGAATATGTCTTCTCCCTGATTTCGACCCCAAGTCCAGGCAAATTTATGGTCTCAATTGAAAAGGGTACAATAACCCTTTCGTATATCCAGATTATGGGTGCACTTCGGCCCTCGCCGATGACCTGCGAACCTTAATTCTTTTACTTAGTTGAAGACTGGCGTGATCCCTTAATCTTTGAGAAACTGAACCCGCTCCATATATGTAACTGTGTACTATGTCTGGCCGGCCATGGTGCACAATGAAGGAAGCCATTTCTCAGATAAAAATAGCAATCGAACATAAGTGTAATAAATTCGAGAACTTTCGGAGTGTAGAATGACAGCAGCTTTCAGGGACGCCACATTGTCGTGCTCCCTTCGCTAACATCTCGGATCTGCCCCGGTCTATGGCCCAAAAAACAAACGCAACGTGAGCCCTTTAAAAAAAAGCAGCAGAAATCAGCAATCTTTTAAAGGGTGAGGGTGGGGTGAAGGAGATTTCTACTGTGGATCCTTCTTCAAGTTTTGTGTCTCCCTCTTACCAAGACTGGCTGCGCTTCCGGCTGTGTGCCAGTATCGGTGTAGGGATATATTCATTGATTTCCTTTTCCATGCCTTTTCGTTTTATGCATTTTGCATCTGCGTCCGAAAATAGGAAAGAATGGATGCAATACGCCACCAGCATTACATTTGTTATGTAAAGTACTTGAGGAGTGAATCTTGCGCTTTTCAGGATTTGTTTAATTGCTCAGAAGTTTGAACAGAGATATCGTACCTAAGTATCCAATGTCCGCCTGTGTCAAAACCATGTAGCAGGGTGGAGTGGGGACTGTGGGACTCATAGCTTGGAAATATTTCTAGAAGATCGCATTCGACATGAGCTGCCATTAAACACCATGAAATGGAACAGTACTGATTTAAACGTGAGCGGTACAGGTCACGCCTCTTGGATACCTGCATGCATGGCAATACATGTGTGATGTGCAGGCCAAGCTACCATCATTATCGATGATCGATCAGCACCACCGGTGCTCAGCGATACACAAACTCTGTGTGGCAGCGCTTTTCGCTTTCGAGAAATGTTAGCGTGAAAGCTTTAAATATGTCTGCTGGTTTTTAAAACGCCACCACCTGGGCTCCATTATCTATGTCCAGACCTGAGTGTCCGACTGTCCGATTTCAGGAAGTCACGTGCCAATGGGAAAAAATCCTCGGGAGATGGTTACAAAACAGGCGCTTCTGATTTTGGGGCAAGATAAACGGGTACATGGTAGATCTAAAACCAAAATAAGCTTTCTGCATCAGGGCACATGCAATACACACAAACAGAATAACGGTGTCCATTCTCGCCGACCTTGCCAACCTCACCTGGAGTGATTGTGGTCACTTGAGCGTCTGGGGTGGTGACGCCCAACCCGAATCCGCTGCTGCAGCAGATGGCCAGCAGCAGCAGCTGCTGCAGCTGCTGCCGCGCACGCGGACGCGCTCGACCCTGACCCATGGCTACCATGGCCCGGTGGTGTGACCGTCTGGGCTGACCCGGGCGGCAGCGGCCGGCGGCGGCCGGCGCCGCTCCGGTCGCCGAGACGACCGTGTAACACGCTCGGCTCACCCCGGCTACGGACCGTAACGATCGCCGCCTGTTTAGCCCGTTACGGGGCGACGGTGGCCGGCGGTGCCCAGCCGACAGGCCGGGCACCGCCGGCCGCTACGCCCGCCGAACACATCCCTCCGAGCGTCAGGCATTCCGCGGCGATCTCTGATTGGCCCACGACAGAGGCGGCTTGGTGTGACGCTAACAACGGCGGCTTGGTGCGACCCTGACAGCGGCGGCTCGGCGTGACGCTGGCAGCGGCGGCTTGGTACGACGCTGGCAGCGGCGGCTTGGCGTGATGCTCACAGCGGCGGCTTGGCGTGACGCTGACAGCGGCAGCTTGGCGTGACGCTGATAACGGCAGCTTAGCGTGACGCTGATAGCGGCGGTTTAGAGTGACGCTGACAACAGCAGCTTATCGTGACGCTGACAGCGTCAGCTTGGCGTGACGTTGACAGCGGCGGATTGGCGTGACGCTGACAGCGGCGGCTCGGCGTGACGCTGGCAGCGGCGGCTTGGCGTGATGCTGACAGCAGCGGCTTGGCGTGATGCTGACAGCAGCGGCTTGGCGTGACGCTGGTGGGAGCGGTTTAGCGTGATGCTGACAGCAGCGGCTTAACGTGACGCTGACAGCGGCGGCTTGGCGTGACGTTGACAGCGGCGGCCTGGCGTGACACTGACAGCAGCGGCTTAGCGTGACGCTGACAGCAGTGGCTTGGCGTAACGCTGACAGCGGCGGCTTAGCGTGACGCTGACAGCGAAGACTCGACGTGACGCTGACAGCAGCACAAGTGGCGTCAACTGTCGTCAGTTCCTTGTTTACCGAAGTTTGAAGTTCGGTTTACCGAAGACTTGAGACGAGGTAGTCACACAGAGGGAACAATCATTCGGGCTCTTATCCTCGTCGGATTTGTGTGAACTCTGGCCATCGCAGAGTTGTGTGAATATCTTATTGTGGTGTTTTTTTTTGTGTTTTGTTGTTGTTTGTTTTGGTAGCACTACATTGACATGACATAGAGACAGGTGATACATGAATGGTGGATATGTTTTTTGTTCTCATTAGCGTGACTGGGACAGAAGAAAACTGTCATTTCGAAGTGAAATCTGGTCCACTGAGTATTGATTATTCCTAGGAATCAGAACCTGATCCAGATGGCATGAAGGTGGCCTGATCTGGTATGAAATATTTACACACACTGCTACCTTCCACCACCTAGAAATCATTATGCACATGACACAGCCCATTCTTATGATTCATGAACACAACCCTGTCACATCTCAGTAAACATTAGTGGATTATCTTAATCTTTTGTCTATGGTCAGACATAAAACCATGACCACAAATTGCCCATTTGCCACGTTGCGCATTCGGGCAGTGTCTGCTCATTACCGCATTCCTCTCTGCTTTAGTTGTATATTTCAAATTGGAGCTAAAGTTTTCAGGTTTCAATTTTTTGTTTCAATCAGTTGAACATTTGGTCTTTTGTGATCATTTGAACAGGAACGTTTTAATAGTGGACTAATAATTACGAATAAATCGGCTACCAAGTATAAGATGTCTATTTCAGAAATTTAAATGTAGCTTTATCAGATCCTGATTCATGTCCAAATCAACTGGGACGTAATTTGATCAACCAAGTTGTGAATTATTTCCCTAGACATTGATACAAATGAGATGGTTAGATGCTTTTGTAAGCTTTAGTAGTAAACAAAATGGCAGCTTCTGGCAAAGCTGTCATCTTGGTGTTCCATGTAGAATTTTCCCCTGCTTTCAGCCAGAAACATTGCTCTAAACAACATATAGTGCCCAAACTGAAAAGCTGAGTCACAAGCATCACCTTTTTATGCACGCAAGCTTTGCCGCATCAGTGCGTCCTTGGACACAGGAGTATTAAATAATTCAAAACTTTAAACATTGGCCCGTGGCATCGAAGATAGCTGGTTATTCGGCATGAGCTGCACGGTGGTCGTGGAAGGCGCTCTTCGGGGTGCCTACTGTTTGGTGTTGCCGGCTAGGGATAAAATCCTTGGCGGTGTTTGGCTTCGTTACTACTGTATGTGTTGGCGATATTTTACGACTTATTTTTTAAGGAGTTGATTACTATTGTGTAAGACCGACCGATTTGCTGACTGCCCCAGTGGGCGCGCATGTCGATCTCCAGTTCCTAGCACGCTAGCTTATATTGTCAGAGATTTTATCTGGTTTTTTGCCTTCCCTACCTGATGGAATTTCGTTCATACGCCCCCGCAAACAGTACTTATCCCTAGTTTTTTTCTCGTGCCTTTGGACTCAAGAGGGAGGGCTGTCTCAACAGCTGAATCTGTAAACTACTTCACTGGTTAGACGCACCCAATAGCCGAGTCTGCGGACAATTCCCTCCGTTAACAAGATACGTTGAAAGCGGGAACGTAGTTTCTGCGTCAGAGAGGGGGCCGATGTTTCATGTGTACCAAAAGTAACCGACAGGCAATCAGAAATGGGACGGAAAGGCTCTTAAGCCCCAATCGGGGAATGCACTGGGTTCCAGGTCTTGGTTTAGGACTATTGGGATCTGGCTGTTGAAAGGAGGAGGGGGGCGAGGGGTTCAGCAAGACCCTGGAGGCGCTCTTTTAGGCTCGCGAATTCCAGGAAATGACCATACTGAATGAGAAGAGCAAAAAATATAGTGCCGAAAAGAAGTTCAGACAACACCGTAACAGCGTCTGGCAGCCCAGGAAGCCCCATCTGGTAATGTTTAGACCACCTTTGCTTTGAGCTTTGGCCGCCCAATGGGGACTTCCTGGCCGCCAGGGTTGCACAGGTATCTAAGGGCCCTCAGTATGTCCAACTGGGACTCGTGTGGGTCCGAGATGGGCAGTCGCATGGGACCATCAGGACCCACTTCGGTCCCATGTGGGCATATCATGGGCAACTACCTGGGTCCCATATGGGCAGCCCACGTGGGGCCCATGTGGGGCCAAACTGGGACCCACCTGGGGCCCACCTCGGCTGCCCAGCTCGGACCCATTTCGGTCCCATGTGGGCATGTCATGGGCAACCAGCTGGGTCCTACAAGGGCAGCCCACCTGGGGCCCATATGGAGTCGAACTGAAACCCAAATGGGGCTCACCTGAGCTGCCCAGTTGGGACCCACGTAAACATGGCCAACTGGTTCTCACATTAGCAGCTCACCTGGGGCCCACGTGGGGCGTAACCGTGACCTTCGTAGGATCCACCTGGGCTACTCAGTTGAGTCCCACGTGGGCATCCTCAGCTGAGGCCTACATGAGTATGTCCAGTTGGGACCAATATAACCAGCCCAGATGGGACCCATATAACTGGCCCAGAATGGACCTTTTAACTTCGCTAAATGGGCCCCAGTTAAACTTCACGGATCTGCCATTTCAAATTCCATCTCATTCATGGACCGCCGAAGTTCCAGACAGTTTCGTATTATCAATAATAGGCCATGCCATGGTTCATGTATTTGTCTGAAATTGTGTCGGCAACAACACCGTTTGTACAAAACATGTAATTCTCTGTAATCATGTCCGATGCGATAGTCACTAAACTATTCAGCTGATACTAGGCGCTGCCGCTGCCGCCGTTGTTAGCACGACGTTTCCCGCCGTCGTCGCAGTCCCTCCCGCCGAAACCATTTTCCTGGTACCTGTTCCCTTTCGTTGCGGGAGAACCCGTAGCGCGGTGTGTTGCACAGGATGGCCTATAAGAATGGCAGTGTTCAGCACCTCAAATCACTGTCCCACAGCCTGAGTGTGGATGATAATTCATGTACAGATACTTTGGCAAAGAAAGAACTGATTTTGCTAAGACGTTTACCGAGGTCGATAATAATGAGCGTAGCTATGTCTAATAGCAGTGCAGAAATGCACTTCACGCGAATTCTCTCGGAGAAGTTGTATGGGAAAACTTTACGTGAGGCCACTCACATGGAGCACTTGAGTGAAAGCTGCCTTGAGTTGTTGTGCCCTACTGCGATCATAATGCCGACATCAAACTATTAATGGTGCCATTTATGAGGATAATCAAGCGAAATGTTTATACCTTACGGGAAAGAAGTGAAATGTTGCAATATATTATGCCAGAACGATGCTAACAAGCACACTTCTATCATTATTCTACATACCGGAACAAAGTAGCTGCCAGCTGCCTATATGGGAATACAATATTAACTCGATAAATCAATTTTTAGAACTGCTGCTTTCCGACCCACTCACTCATTAAAGGGTAATTTTGAGTGTTGAGTGGTTTCATACACTTGCTCTTTGCCCTTGCAATAGATGGCCTGCGGCTGATGGCAATGAAATATTAATAGGTGCACTTGTCAAAAAATGTGCGAGATAAAAAAATAAATCAGCGAACCCCGGGCGAACACAGCCAGTCCCAGTTTCAAAAAGAATGGTATCATTTCTTTCGTATGTCACGATTCCAAGACTTGGTTTGCATGTTTGTTTGTCAAAGTGCTAGAAAAATCTAACAGATAAAATGAATTTGTCTTCGCTTGCTCATCCTCTGGAATTACCAATAATTGTGGTAATGAAATTCTCGCTGTCAATTGTGGCAGACTTGAACGTGAAATATGAGCTGAACATTAAAAACCCATGTGGTACAATACCTGCTTTCCCAAGCATGATGATTCTTGGGCAGCACCAGTCGTCTTCGACGGAAGCCTCTGGTTACTTCGCTAGCTTGCTGGCAAACATCATGTTTCCGGGTGGCCAGAAGCAGTCCTCAAGCAGTTATTCAGAACAGAGCAGCCGCAAAGCTCACCAGCAGTTCAGCGGATCAACAGCGTAGCATTTTTCCCACTAACCAAGGGCTGGAGTTGATGCCCGTACCCCCCCCCCCCCCGCCCATCGAAATCCGCAGCAGCGAAACTAATCCTACCGAAAAAAACACGCCAAAAGGGAACGTAAACTGA